AACGTAACTAAGTAATAATACTAGTTAAAAGTTAAATAAGTAGTAACTACTACTAGTTACGTATAGGTAGTAAGTAAGTACTAAGTACATTATATATATATATATATATATATATACTACACACACACACACACACACACACACACACACACACTAGAGATTTTATACATTTCACTTTAAAATTAAAACCTGCAAGAATGTACAAGCTGTCAGTAAGAACAAAATTATGTAAATTTATCTAACAAATATTTATATGTAGAAGGGGGAGGGGGGAAATACTTGTTACCTTTAAACATCAATGTTAGTAGTACTGCAGCTAAGTTAGTTCCAGCAATGTTTCTTGCCATGCACTGGTAGATCCCAGAATCTGCAGCTTCTGTTTGGGTTATAACAAGTTCTCCTGAGCCCTTCAGTTTTATTCTAGTATTTGTAAGAAGTAGTTTTCCATCTTTATACCAGGTAACTGATGGTGAAGGAATTCCATCAGCAACACAGTTTAACCGAACTGTTTGTGGTGTGGCTTTGGATACACTCTGAGGTTTTATCAGAAATTCTGGTGGCACTGGGGAACAAAATCTTATTTTATTACAAAACAATCAAAGTTAACAAAACATAATATACATACTACAACATAACATATAGCAAATAAAACAATATTAGCCTTATTAGAAAATTACTACTTTTTTGGTCTCAAAGCCTTATTTCAATGAAGGATTACTAGCTTTACAGATATTTTACTGCTGTTTATCATTTTGTTAACAAATTATTATAAAAATAATGATACAACTATTTCTGGATTATCATTCTTGAACTGAAGAGACAAGAATTGGAATTTTCAAAATAAATGACACAATGTGTATCATTAATTAATAAAAATTAATCTAAATTCTGAATAGAATACAACAAATCCAATTCACGTCCTGTGATTTTCACAACTTACAGTGAATTCTAATATCAAAGTATATAACAGGAATGTATGCAACAGTGTGAGTGTTTGGACAAGCACTGCATGCAAGTAGCAGTGTATGTAGCTGAATTAAAAAAATTCTATCATAGTACTCAAAATTAATAAAACCGCATTTACAAACTTTTATATATTAGAATATATAAAATTTCAAAAACAAAGCCAAAAAGATGCTTGGAGATGAATAATTACTAAAGCTGAATTTTTAGATCTTCATTTGTTTCATTATTGTGGTACCACATTGTAAAAGGTAAAACCAAATATGGCTTTGTGATAGATGCAAAAAAATGTGAAAGAATATGAAAATAGTAGCATTTACACTTAAATATGACCATGATAGCAAAGGGAAAGTACTGAGCTTAAATTCACTGTAAATGGTGCTTGGAATGATGTATATCAAGGGCACCATTTTTCATATTGCAAGATGGAGAGAAAGGTGGCAAAACTTGAAAGAGTAATGTAAATTAATGTGTGAATTTCCCCTTTCAAATATTTCTTTTGTTCACAAGGAGACCAAAGAGACACCAAACTAGAAGTGTAACAAATGACAAAGTTTAAAGGAGTGTGAAAACAGACTGTTTGTTTGATCATGCATATGTGATTATCAGTGCAGTATGAGGTTTGAAGTATCAGGTAGGATTAGCGTGCCATTTATAGGGAACATCAATGGTCACCTGGTTTTAACATCTACAAGAAGTGGTTGCTATCAGTCAATATACAGTAGTGGCCTCACTTTGATTGACATGTTTCAGTTGGGCAGTAGCAGATGAGAGCTAGCCTGGGAAACAGGTGACCACAAGCCGAGTTGATTGGTATGTAGGTCTGGACTGTACATTCGTTCAAAAAAATAAGTCACAAAGAGGATGAAGAAGATTGATGTCATTGATCACACAGCACCTTCCTAGCCTAGATAAAAATATGAGCGAGAGTCTTGGGAATAAGTCGTTTTGGTCTGACATGCTCAGTCACGATGGTGTTGCCAATTTGAGCGGGTGTACATTTTTCTTCTACTGTGCTTTGATTTTATTGTGATCGGGAGTGTATATAATTTTTATTGCATCTTGAGAAAACACCCCAACGTCAAATTAAACAAATTACAAGTTTCTTTTCACCTTCTGTGAATAAGAAAGCTAGAATAAGTGAGGAAGTGACCCAATAGTAATTAATGGTATCAGTAACATCTGGTGTCCACAAGCTAGCTTCTGGACTGCCGATCAAAAAAAAGGATTTTTGCAAGAAGTACAATTGGCTGAATATTAGAAATAAGAAACTTGGCTATACACCTTACCACAAAATTGGAGCTTTTGGAGTGAAAACTGTGATGGATTTACTATTATACATTTATTTTAATATCAATATTTGTTTAAGTTAAATTTGTAATTAGAAATGTACATAACTTATACTGTTAAATCTGTATTGCAAAACTCCCACATATTCCACAAAGTTGTAGAAGATTGGATACATATCAGCATTTATTTAACTACTAAATCTAAATTACAATTTAACTCGGTTTTAAGCTATTTGAAATCGATAAACTAACTTAGTTACAAAACCAGTTTCTTATTCAGTATGCTAAGACTGGAAAGACCAACTTCAAGTAACTGGGCTTGCCTTAGCTTTCCAGCATCGTACTTGAATAAGTTGTTGCCTATCTATAAGTAGTTTTTTTTTAAGATCTTTATAAGGGTGATGGTTGGGAGTTTTTTTTTTATTACTGTAGAAACTTTTTTGGGTAGTATTACCACAAACTTCATCCATTTCTGACTATGATTAACCGACCAGAAACAAAAGTATATGCATTAAATGAATAAATATATATATAAGCACAGTGGGCTTCTTGAAAATATCTTATACTAGCAAATAAGCTCTATGTCTTTTTACTTGTAATGAACCAATATATGGAAACGTTTCCTATATGAACACCAATAAAAATGGCTGCCCTATTTATTACATGACAGGTTATTGTGTTTTACGTATGTATGCTTTGTTGTAGCAAAGTCACATCAGACTATCTGCTGTGTCCACCAGGGAACCCTTATGTTATATAAAGAATAATTCTGCTAAACTAAATTTTCTATACATTATAAACTTATGCTATCAATGAAAAATGTCAAGTACTAAAAGTTTTTGTACTCTATAAAAGTGAAGAACAGGCTTCAGAATTCCAAAAAAAAAAATCAAATAGAGTTTGCTATTTTCATAAATATGTGGTTGTACACAAAGTGAGCTTACTATTTAATGATTAAAAGTAGCAATCAAAGTTCACCTTAATTCTATGCACAGTTAAATAATATGGTAAATACTTGTGCATAAGCTTTGTATTATTTTACCTCATAGTTTTAATATCATCTTGTTCCGTCTCTTACAAGTGCATCATATTTACCTTTTTTGTGTCTTTTTTTTGTTTTTTTAATTAGATACATGGGAGAGCTTGTATTAGCTGTAAAAAAAAACACAAAGTTCAATTTCTTGTTTTGTTTATTAGTCCTGGTTTAGCTCTGTATGTTTACAATTTATTATGCAAGTAGGATTAGCTTAGACAGTAGGATTATTTCATACTAGATATTCAACCATATTTTATGAGTAGAATATTTGTAATGCTTGTTTCTGTAATAAACAATCTTATTTTCAACTAGTCTCAGAACCATCTACCAATTCTAGAATAATTTGTCTCAGATAAATATTTATATTTACCAAGCTCTTTCAAAAAGAAAAAAGTCTTATAGACTATAATAGTTTTTTCTTTTGCAGAGCTGTAAACATGAAGTTTTTCTAAAGTACAAATAGGTAAAGAAACAGACACTGAAATGCAAAACCACACAATCCATACGCCCAAACAAACTGATCATCCACGCATTCTCTTATTCAAAACACACCACTTTTTCTCCCTTATATGTACAATTGATAGATTATTAGTAATTAACTTCATTTTTATATAAACCTGAACTTCAACGTGCAATTTTTCATCTACTTTTACCAGAAAAAGTACTAATGTTTTTTTCTTACCATGTACTATTAAGGTTGTTATCTGGGTAATGAAAAATTTCTTCCCTGCACTGGTAATTGTTTCAGCTGAACACACATATGATCCTGCATCATCAGGATGTACCTGGTCAATTACCAAATTTCCTTGGCCAATGACTGACACTCGATCAGTAGGTAATGATCGGCCACCTGAAAGTGTTCACTTTATTATGTAAAAATTTACACCACTTTAAACTGTTTGTTTATTAACATAGAATATTCAACATCAGAAAAAATATTTTTACATCTTTTCTACTATCAAAGAAAGACTTTACATATATCAAACCTACAAGTTTAGGCTAACAGAAATTTATTCAATTAATCCTATGTCTACACGTCTTCCAATGGTTACAGGTCAAAAGCTATATCATCACGTTTGTAGACTCACATTCAAAATTTTATTGAACTACTATTTTGTGAATGTATGTTAATAAGTTTGGTATCAAATTGTATATTATAATTCAAATTTTAGTATTAAATATTAAAAAAAATCTTAAATATTACTTTTTGTGTATCACTTGGGTATGTTGATTGTAGCATGGTTCAAATTATATGTTTGTGATGTCCAAATACAAAATATATAGTTTCTTACAAATTAGGAACTCAAATTATTGATACTGACAAGCTATAATATAAAATAAAAACCTCCTATCTTTTCTATATGCTGAGATATTGTTACATTTACTGAATAAAACAAAGTGGTCCTGCTCACCTCTGTCCATTTTTGGAAAAACTTGCTAATGTAAAATGTATATATAAAACCTAAAATAATGATTTCGTTTTACATCCTCCACATGTGAAACTTGATAAGGCTTAGCAACCTACAGCAAGCAGCAAACAAATTCAGAGATAACTGTTTTAGAAGAAATAATTGTTTTCCATAATTCTTTATTTAGTGTTCTAACTGAAATTTAAGAACTTATTTTAAATAGTAATAATGTATATACATATATAATGTATTAAAACTGAAATGTATTTTACAAAGTACTAGTCCACTAAAACACAATCAAGGCAGGTCTCTTTGTAAAGGCCAATTTTATACTCTTGCATACGGTAACATGAGTGCATGTGCACCGCATCATTGCAACTTCTATAATGTTAGCCAGGCATGGCTGAAAGGTCAGTATAATAAAAATAATAAATATTTGTAAATGTATAATTTTATGAAATTCAAGGTATTTAGACTAAATATTTGTGTTTCATGTTATAATGTATAATCATTCTAGAAGGTAAAAGCATAATTCATATTTATTTCCTAATTTGTTATGGTAATTACAAAGTCGGTCAAATTGACCCAACTCATAAAATGTTTTTTCTAAAAAAAATTGATAATTATCTGGAGGTTATAAAGATTTTGCATGCAAAATTTGAAAATGTTTTGATGCTTGAAAGTATTTTTAATCTTAAAATCAAAATTACTTTGCATGTTAGATAGTCAACATTCTGAAAGAAAAAATGTTGCGAGAAAATCTTTAAATGAAAAACGTAATACTTAATTTAAAAACCTGATATTTTGTGTATGAAAGCCTTGTAATGTTTACCAATGACCTGCAAAATTTTGTAAAGATTTATTTTATTTTATTTGCATATTACAGATGTCAAATCAGAGATGTCTAAAAAGCAGTATTTCAGATTCATCATTTATCTGAAATGCTAATTTTACACATCTCAGATTTGAAAATCATAATGTATAAATTAAAAGATTTTTTTTTTGCTCTTGTTTGTAATTAAGCACAAAGCTACACAATGGGTTATCTGTGGTATGCCCACCACAGGTATCGAAACCTGGTCTCTAGCTTTCTAAGTCCGCAGACACACCGCTGTGCCAATGGGGGGCAAATTAAAAGAATGCAATATATATATCTGCAGTCTAACATTATTTTTTACCACAAATATTAGGTTTTTTAGTTTCCATCCCTTCACCAGTTTTCAACATTCAAACCACATATTAAAATTTTGTGTTTGTAACTGATATTAATATGAATTGTGAATTGTTTAGGACAATGGTTACTAAACTGAATAGATAACTCAATTTACTGAATAATGTAGGATGACTGTTTAATTCTCTCACTCTCTAATGACACATAATTATATCTTTAACTTACCTTCTCTCTTCCACATCAATATCGGTTTAGGAAATCCTAAAACCAAACACTCCAATACAGCTTTTTCTCTTGTCAGCTTGACCACAATCTGTGGTGAACTAAGGAACTCCAAGGTGTGTGCTTGTACAGGAGCTAAGTGGGAACATTTTGGTTATAGAGCAAATTATTTTTCAAGGACTCCTTTGGTATTTAACCTTAAGACATTTAAAGTTATACAAGTTGACAGAACATCTGATTTCATTTAGTAAGTACATTAGCTATGCATTTATTCTTATTTTAATTTTTATTTTATAACTTAAATTTGACTTAAGCATCTGAGACACTTTTCGTCTGAGAAACCAAATTTTCAGCTAAGTAAACCACATGTGAGATAAAAGTAGGCTACCAGAATGACATTTCAATTACTATACTATTGCAGTATAAAATCTAAACTGAAATGTAAATGAGTATGTGTGTATTAAAATGTGTCATTCAAAGTAGAATCTATAAAACATTGTTTCTGATTCACTTTGTCTATTTTATTAAAAAAAAAATTCAGAGTCTATGTCAAATAGTACATTGTACATGTGTACCATATCCAAGTTTGCATGAGACTTTATAACATTTTACCTAAACTTCAATAACATTTTAAGTGTTTGTAATGTATAGATTATGCTCATGACCGTCTACGAACACTTAGGCTTAATCTTTTATAAAAAAAATTGACAAATGACTGAAATTTGGCATTATTTTCAATGGAACACTTTGTACATTATTAACCTTTAAATTATTTTTAACTTGCTTTTTATATAGCTTAAGGTAACTGTAATTAAACAAGTTCTGTTCACGTAAGTAGGTTAAAAACTTAACAGTATTATATATTGTTAAACTGTTATTAGTACATGTCTGATAAACACAGTTATTCAACAATCAAGTTTTTTTGAGGGAATAAAGAATAATGAATGCAGCAATGTAATTTTGTTAGTAAAGAAACCCTACCCTAAGTTATATTTGTAGCTTGTAATAAGTAGGCAGCATCTTAAGTTAAAGCTACACTATTATTTAGACATACAAGGTAAACAAACACCATGCATCAATGTGGCAAATTATGTAACCAATGATCACTAGGCCACACCGTCACATTTGCGAGTTGTGTACAAGCAGTAATCATGCCAACAGAAATAATCGTAGCTAATATTTCAATTACTTGAATGACAGTAATAACTGAAAATAGTTACAACTGGAAACACTAATTTCGATTAGTTGATTATTTTCATGAGTCATGACACCAATCAATTAAGCTGAACTAATTAGAATTAATAAACAAGAGGTAATCCTCAGTAGCTGCATCACTTGAAATTCTTTTAGGTAAGATTAGAGTAAATTAATCTACGAGACCTGTTTTTCCTTTTTATTAGCTATATTTTTGTGCACCAGCATTATCAAGCATTGTGTGCATAGACCTGAAGCAGCTTTATTACTCATCAAGATCTCTACCAGCCTACCCTCAAATTGAAATTCTTTTAAGCAGATTTAGAGTAAATTAATCTATAAGACCTTGGGTGTGATCAAATACATATAAATCAAAAGGATTTGACCTCATGAGTCCAAAATTGTAACTATATCTCAAATCAGTCAAAAGATGACATAGCTACGAGTTAAAAGTTTGTACTTAAAAATAATGAGAAATCATAATGGCAATATTTCGATTACTTAAATGGTTGGAATGATAAGAAAGTAGTAATAGGAAGTATTAACTTTAATTAGTTGATTATTTTCATGACATTAATCTGATTAATTGTAATTTTAATTAATTGATTTTTTATGTGACACTCAAAGTAATCAATACTCAAATGTAATTGATTATATCAATTAATCGTGTTAATCATACAGCTCTAATTACATGTAATAGATGGGAACTAGATTTTCTTTTTGTGAATCATTTTATGTCGTTGTATTGGTATTCATGTGACACACCTGTCACAAAAAATAGCTCATAAACTCAAAATTTATGCTCATAAACAATGTCTTTGGCAAATCCTCATCAACAGGCTCTAATGCAATATATACATCTAATAATTTAACTAAGAATTATACTAGTGAATAAAATGTATGTGCATTAACACATACAAGAAAAAAATGTAATAAATACTGCTTAATATCAACAGAGCATAATATTGTCACAATGCTACAATATGAAAGCCACCAGAGAAAACATTAATACTTAATAGTAATACAAAATCTAATACTTATCAGAAAAAATCACAAAATAGAACCTCAAGAGACTTTATACATTAACATTAAACATTAACTGCAGAAAAGTTGGCAAATATGCAAACATTATAATTAATTGCTAAAGAGATGATTAAAAATTTTTTTATTGTTATCATAAAAGTAATTTGTACTCAATAAGATGATGGGTCAGTGTTCTTGATGTTTGCAATCTATTTCATTTCCACTGTAACTATATTGAAGAGTGTATTCAGGGTAATTAATTCTTATTTCTATCTTAAACTTATTCTAGGTGTTCCAGAAATATTTCTCTTAACCTATGTTCATTATAGAACTCATTGAATAAATACATACATGAATACATTAAAACAGAAGCTTTAACAATACAGTTTGTGGTCTATATTTGTTTAATAAAGTCATATGCTGTGTAGTATGCTATTACTGAAATTCTATAACAGGATGATGCTATATAATACACTACAACAAAAGTTCTACGAAAGCCTAATGCTGTGTAGAAAACTATTACAGCAGTTCTATGACAATATGATGCTGTGTAAAACACTGTTAAAGTAGTTCTATGACAGTCTGATCAAGCATAGGATACTACTACAATAGTTCCATGACAGTCTGAGACAAAATAGCCAGGTTTGTATCACAATTTGTGAATCAAAACAACCTCAATTGCCAACCACTTTCCTCTTTGCTTAGCATAATGTGCAAATTATTCCTTTCTCTAATATGTTGTTTTCGAGACCTCCCACAACACAGTGAAAGTTCTGTACCATTCCAGTTTACATTACATTACCCACGGGCATGCCTCAGGAAAAGTTTATTATTCAATTATTATTTTTATTTATTTTATCTAATCAAACCTTATCTAACATAAAAAAGTACACTGTTTTATATTTTAGTTACATTTATTATAATAAATAAAGAATACATATGAAAAACAAAAATAAAGTACTTACCTGGGCCTTCTTTTTTTTTGCTGTCAATTGTTGATAACAGTTAACCCTACTTTTTATACTGATGGTAGTACACATAATAATTTTTATTTAATTAAATAATGTACTGAAGAACACAGAATAATAACATGCAAAAAGTAGACAATGTCCCATAATTAACACAATTTTTCTGGCTTTCTAACTATGCAACAAGAGCTGTTACAAATTCATCCAAGCTAATTGACGTGTTACTCGTAGGAACGAAGCTTGTACCAAAAGAAAAATTGACATTTTTCTGTACGAAAAACAATGTTATATAATAAGTCATTTTATAGATGAAAACCTTGGCTTTCTATTGGTTAAAAATAATATAGTATTAAACATAAAAGAGAACAATTGGTAAGTCCTGAAGGAAAGGATGTGACAGGTGGGTGTGGCAAGAGGAGTCTTATTTTCTATATGGTGACTCTGTAACCAAACAGAATTTAAGGCTATGAAAATCATGCTTTACCTGAGCGATGACAATATTATAATAAATAATGTATGTTAAATTTCGTATTTGTGGGAGGGGTGGTAAATAAATTAGAGAATAGGGGATACCTGGAGAAAAAATTTCATATTTCTTACACGAGGGGAAATTCAGGATCTTTTTTAAATATTGCTTTATAAAATTAAACTTCCACACTATTAAAATATGGATTATTAGCTATGATTTTATGCTATACTATATGGTATAACACGTAAAAACAAAAAGTAGTTTAATTAAATTTTGAAAAACCTTGTGACATGCATAGTAAAGGATGCCTGTGATGAGAGGGGTAATTACTGCTGAAAAATAACTAGATATTTTCTTCTTCAAAAAGCCAAAGAAGACCATGGTGTGAATAGAGTGATGAGGTCTCACTAAAAAAAAGAAATAAACTAGATTAATTTGAAAAATTATTTGTGGCAATCTTGTTCAGTTGCAATATCTTCAAGTCACTTATTTCTCTGGTTAATCGATTGTTGCATTATGTTGTGCCAGCTGAGGTGTTTGGTATTTCTTGGAATTTTGAAGTTTTACTTTATATACCAGGAACTATTGTGTTCATGAAATGTCATGTATGGTACAATTAAATATTAGGGTTTGAAGCTGAATAAAAGTGATATTAGAATAAAAACATTTACCTCTTTTTCATTAGTGGATGTCTTTACAGGTAGTTAAGACTTTTAGTGCTTGATTTAGTTGCTATAATGTGTTAAAAAGATGCTAAACAATATTTGCTCATTGTTAATCAAATTCAATACTGATCAGCAGTTTCTGCTAATCAAATCCACCAAAGTATTTTATCCCCTGTTATTATAGTAGTTCTATGACAGTCTGATGCAGTATAACACACTATTAAAGTAGTCCTATAACAGCCTGATGCTGTATAAAACAGTATTACAATAGTTCTATGACAGTCTGATGCAGTATAACACACTATTAAAGTAGTCCTATAACAGCCTGATGCTGTATAAAACACTATTACAATAGTCCTATAACAGCCTGATGCTGTATAAAACAGTATTACAATAGTTCTATGACAGTCTGATGCTGTGTAAAACACTACTACAGTGGTTCTATGACAGTCTGATGCTGTGTAAAACACTACTAAAGTGGTTCTGTGACAGTCTGATACAGCACAGGACACTATTACAGTAATTCTACGACAGTTTGGTGCAGCATAGGACACTACTAGATTAGTTCTATGACAACTTGATGATGTGTAAGACACTATTACAGTTCTACAACAGTTTGATGCTGTATAAGATATACTGTTGCAGTAGTTCTATGAGTCTGATGCTGTATAGTACACTATTTCAGTAGTTCTATGACAGTCAGATGTTGTCCAATACACTATTAAAGTAGTTCTACGTCTGTCTGATGACGTACTGTATACTATTATAGCAGACATGTCATACACAAGCCTTGGTAAGCAAAGTTCAACATCTTGTAACAGGTGAGAATCCATAAACACACAGGTCACTGATAAAAGCCATCCACATGTTCCAGGCTACAGGATGCAACATAATCATTATGAATCTCCATCTGAAAATGAAGCTAACCAGGTATGGGTTGACCACAATAATGCTTCCTGTCATAACTTCCATTCAACCATCACATACCTCAAGCAGCTAGAGAATGAAATGGATATTCATGCTATTCCATATAAAGACATACCAGCCAAGCCACTGGATGCAGCACTTATGGATTTCTGCATAATCCATATGTTGAAACAGGAGCTTGGAAACCATCCTTCTTCTACACTAGATAGATTATGGAAAATATGCAGAGAAGAATGTTTTGCTTTGGACATGAGTGCTTTAAGATGAAGTATTTTACAATAGAAATAACACTGAGGGCTAATGTTAAGATGCAGGTTCATCAGATACAGCATGACTGGATATGTCAACATGTGCTGTAATGACTTAGTGAGGCTTCAAAACCATTTTAATATAACATACTCAATCCTGTAGTTCTATGACAGCCAACTTTTGTCCAATATGCTCTGTTACAACATATTGATCAATAGATATTATTCATGAAACATGAGGAATATTTTTCCCAAAGTAAAAATCTGCTATAAAGACTTCACAGGTACTTGAACAATTAAGAAACCATTAATTCATTTATGTATAAAGGAACATCCCTATATCTGGATAATAAGGTGAAAAACCAATCTTCCATGATTTCCTGTGTAGATTACATGATGTTTATTTTCCTAAAAGACTAATAACAATTTGTTAAAAATTACTTTCTAATAAATACAACATTAATAATTAAGCACTCATACTGTATTTACTAAAATTTTCAATATGTTCAATAATTCAAGACTTAAATATTGAACCTGCCTGATGTCAATGACAGTTTGGCCTTCCTGCTAGAGATTGTGCGCAAAGGATTCTGGGCAATACAGTGGTAGTTAGCTGTATCTGTTCTGGAGATATTGTTTATTTGGAGTATACCTGAGGGAAGTTCAATGTACCTATAAAATATGAACACAGGTTAGTCTGAATAAGTTCAAAAGCTTTCATTGTATCTAAACTCATTACATAAGTATAAATTAGAATGGTATCTTTCAGGTGACCCTTATTTAAAAACTCAAATTTATATATATTTTTGGAATATCCTAAGTGTGATTAGTATTGTTAATATCATATTCTTCAAATTATCAAAGTTCTGCATATGGTAATAGTTAACCATATGTCTAATAATAGCTTTTATTTATAACCTGTAACCATTATGATTAAAATGCTTCAGGTCTTATTTTCAGATTTATCATCCTGATAATATATAATATAACACTAAGTAAGACTTTTAACAGTACCAAACACAAATTAGTTCTGCATGAAGAAATAATAAATTTTCTGAATTGTGACTTATTTGTTATAATATACAAAAATCAAAAATTATTACATCTATGAGATATCTGAAGTTGTGCTCACACAGAAAAAGGAATGCTTTTAATACTGTAAATGGAAATCACTGAAAACTCATATTACTTTGCAAATGAAACCAGAATCAAAGTGTGAAAATCAACACTGGCCTTCTATTACCTATGACTCATCACTTTTGGGTATCAATTTTTACAGTGAAGTATTGCTTATCGTTTATTCTCTTCATTCAGATAAAAATACAATAAAAAGTCTAACATTTTTTGCTATAATACTTTTATTTATATAGTACATTATAGAGAAGCCTGCATCAAGTTAATTTTGGCCAATTTGGAAACCTGAACGCAGGATGTTACTTAAATACATTTAATGAGCAAAAGGTTGACTCAAAGCATGTTAACAACAAACTGTAATTAAACACAAGATAGAAATGTGTGCGAGATTTTTGAAGAAATGCTATCAAATGTTCATATGTTTTTAATTAATTTTTATCATATTAAATTTTGATATTGAGTTGTCACTACACCACCAAAGTAACTTTTCATTTAGTCAGTGCAGCACTATTCAGTTTATGCAATAGTTGTGCACAAAGGATGATATTTATTGTTTGGATGGGAAAGAAGTAATCAGATTTCATGAGTAATTGTGTTAGACACTACACACAAAGAATTATCATCTTTCAACTAAGTTTTATATATGAAGTTATACTTCCTACTGTTTTAATTCTTTTCCCAAACAGCTAGCTTAGCTCAAGTCATATTATTTGTAATATTACAGTTGTCACGGGGAAAGAACAGTTATATTTTTCTCTTCCATAACTAGTAAAGCTTTTTAAAGGTTTTCCAAATTTACCATGCTGGTGTTCTGCATTTAGTTTGTTAGTGTCCTCTTAAACAGGATGTGGAAAGTCATAAACATCTCAAATACATCTTTTACCTATCACAATGTTCACTTTCCAGTTGTCCTGGACTAGATGGGTGATACAAAACCTGTGCAATTTAACGTGAGATAAGGATTTCTTCTTAGAATGTATAATGACAATAAGTGTACAATATGTCGTATGTAATTTGTAAAATGTTTTATATATATATTAAATTAGAAAGCCTAGAAAAAATTATACAAAATAGTTTCATAGTTTTGTCATCTAGATGGGTCAAACATATAAATTTTTTAAACAATTCAATGCTAACCTGTTATCTTTTTGAGGTAGGTCCTGGCCATTGCGTTGCCAGGAGATTACTGCCGCAGGAACAGCATCAATTTGGCACCAAAATCGAGCAACTCCTCCTTCCCATACCATAACTGACTCCGGTTCAACTGTAAAGTTTTTAGCTGCTCCTAAAGAGAGAGAAGTTTTACAAAATAACAATGGAGTGCTGATTAAAATTCAACAATAGCATGACAAAGTTTTTAATGGAGTTTAAAAAAAGTGTTAGCTATGTCATCTCAGGCAGCTGATCTTTCTCACATACACGCAGATAACAACAACCTAATAAATGAAGTGATTAGTATTTGAGTTTAAAATCATTAAAGAAGAGGCAACTTAACATGCGTAGCTTGTAAAACTTTTTCTAACTCACAATAGAAACATTTGCATCAATGAACTGATTAGGTGTTCTGAAGCATACCAAATTATATCTATTGATAAATATATTATCATTATGTTTAGTTTCAATAACAAATTCAGATTACTTATGTTCACAAATATTACTTATTTTTTTGTGACTGTTGTTTGCAGTAATATATATTGTTTTTTTATTATATGTGGTAATATCCTCTTTTTTTGTATTTCTAACTGTTACAAATCCTTAACACTTCACTATTCTTTTGCTCTAGGAATTATTAATTCATGTTCTATAGTTTGTTACCATTTGGTTGTGTTTTCATTTAGATCACTAATTAACTAACAAAATAATTGTGCCCTTAATGCTTACTATGTTATCTAATCAAACTAATGTTTTGACAGTGACCCATTTTCAGCATGTTTACCATAGAAGCTCAAGCATAGTTTATATTATAATTATTTCAGTTCTTGGAATTAAAGTAGTGTAGTGCACACTGTAATATAAACTTACTTAGTAAAAAGAAGAACAGTTATTGACCAGTGAAGTTTTTTTTTTTACTCTACATTTCACCTTATGGCTTGTTCACTTGGGTTGGTTTGAATTTCGTACAAAACTACATGAGGGCTATGTGTGCTAGCCGTCCCTAATTTAGCAGAGAAAGACTAGAGGGACAGCAGATAGTCATCATTACCCACCTTTTACCAACAAATAGTGGGATTGACCATAACATTAAAATGCCCCCACGACTGAAAGGGCAAGCATGTTTGGTGGGACGGGGATTTGAACCTGCGACCCTCAGATTGTAAATCAAGTGCCCTAACCACCTGGACATCCCAGGCCCACCACCACTTGAAAAAAGCCATATGGCAAAATTTTGAAGAACTAAAAACATTCACTAGTCATTGGCTGTTTCTCCTTTTACTAAATATTTCAGTTCTAGGATGAAATAAGTGTAAGCATTTCAGTTAAATATGGGTTGTTTGATTCCTTTCTAAACCAGTGTAAACTATGTGAATTACAGAAGAAACCCTTACAATTTGTTGATGTTTCTATAATACTAAATCATATTTCTAGATCAGCACACACATTTAGCAGGACTATGTTTCTTATGAAACATACTGTTTCATCCAAAATAACATTCTATTAAATTTATTCCCTACGGGTTAAGGAATGAAATATTTTGGCAAACGTATATATTTACAAAAACATAACTACTCTGCATGTACAGTTAAGAATATTTCTGAAAATCTATTCATCAAAAAGTAATTTTAATTCTATTTATTTGTTGTTATCATTTCATCTTACTTGTTACCCAATTACTGAGTTACAGTACAAAATAGGACAGGAGAATTCTTTTGATGCATATACTAAATCTACATTTGTGTCATCAGTATGAAGGCACAAGTGAATGATATCCAAATGTAGGCAGATTTTAATTTCTATCTCTTCTTGTCATTATGATGTCGTATAGTGATGATTGCTTGGATAATCATGCTACATTTTTAAATGATGAAACAATCTAATAGGTTAATTTTTTACAAGTCTTTTTTGTTTCAATTCAATATGAATTCTTCACAATATAACATAAATATTTGTATTTTAATATTTAGTCTACTGTATAGTGTAAATTTATGTTTTTCTTTTCCATTAGGAGAAAAATTCAGATCGATCCCTGGTTGCTCAGAAATATTAAACTTTATATAGGTTTAATTCATTTATATATATTAAGAAGTTGGATTTAAACAAATGAATATTTAACACCCCTTCAGAGGATACAATAAATCAAGCACCTGGCCAATACTGCAGAAATTACTGATAATGTGGATATTTCCACCTGTCAATGCTGCATACTCATACATGCTGTTTGGTTACATCACTTAGGGCAAATTAACCACAATATCTCTCTAAAGGAAATATCTACACCAACTGGTTCCCAGAATACTGAAAATCCACTCAATATTCATTGGATACTCCAGCAGCTAGAAAATCAAGTAGTATTGTCTCTACCAGCCTTCATTTCTCATTCTGCTTTAACCAATAGAATTGCAAATATTCAACCACAGAAATGCTCAGTTGGGTCTTGCAAGTAAGCTAACTTATTTTAACCATCTAACATAATAGTGTTCTTATCTCATAAAGACAACGTAATTCCTTTTGATATAAACTATGATGAATTTATGACAGAAAGTTTTCAAGATTTATATCAGTTGTTTCTAATCTTGGATCTCACAAATGATTTTTAAGCACAAAATGAAGTTAAAGTTTGATGACGTCTTCCATTCTTGTGTGTACAAGATTCCTTGAGAATATTGTGACTTTAAATTAACTCACAGCCCTACACCTAGAGGTTGAATATTTTGTATTAAAAACATTAATTTGGAATATCACCATGTTGTTATTATTCATATCACCACATCCAATTATGTTCTATCTGATGATCATGCATACTGACAATAGCCCTACAGAATAGTTTCCATTTCAAAAGTATTTGTTGTAAGGATGGCACGTCCTATCTCTATATTTTCCATGATCAATCTAGTGTATGAAGACTACTTCACAGTGCCCACTTCAACTGTCTAATTGCACAGAAATTCAAAGGTGCTGAATCTGGTGACATGACTAGTATCTTTTCAAGTGGAATACCATGAATACCTGTTTCATTATCCAGCTGCTTGAGGTATGCAATGGTTCAAAGGGAGATTTGCCTGGAAGCCTTATCTTGGTGAACCAAAACCCTCTCAGCATCATTTCCAGTTACAGATCCTTCTTGATTATATTGCATAATGTTACCAGGGACAAGTGAATAGTTTTTACTACACTTCTGTGTTTGAGGATTCTCACCTGTTAGAAGATATCATACTCTGCTTACCTCAACTGGAATACAACTTATTACAGGTCTCTTTATGGTTGGTCCTGATTCCTTAATTCATCCATATTACTTTGTTTTCCAATGCCATTAAGTTTAAGGGATATTGCCATTTTGGAGATTCTAAATTCCTCTGAAAAAAATTTTATGATCTGAGAGTATGAAAATTTTGCATTGGAAAGGGGCTGTTACATGTTCTTCCCAAAAGTAATCAGTTTTTGGTAGCATCACACTACTAACAAAACATCAAAACAGAGTTCTTATACATTCAATTTCACTACAACTTTATATTAGCTGTGGTTATCGTGAGACTTGCTGATTTGCAGATTCAAAATTGTTTGAATGTTATGTACTTAACTCCCAGTATATTCTTCACCACCCTTACACTGCAAAACGTGCTAATTAATTTATACACTCAAATCATTAGGCATAAAGTTAAAGAGGATGGAGATACAATTAATTTATGTTATGTATAGAATGAACACCAAAAACCTGGAAAAGGCTAAAATGTCCTCATGTCTCCTTGATTTGTTACAACCAGAGGAGATTACTTTGCAGAGTACTACAAAAATGAATGTTCTAGAGCACAGATCACAATGGCTATCTGTATTATATCTACCATGGAGATTGAAACCTGAATTTTAGCATTATAAGCCATAGCAATGTTGGTGTCTTATAAAATATTTTGCTGAATCTTTATTATAATACTCCCAACTGTTGAAAGGGATATATTTTTTAACAGGGACATTGTAATGTAGCATCATATACCATTTAATAACTATATTTTTATGATTTTTCAAACATCAGAAAACTGAGCCCCACCATCCTTATCATAAATTAAATGACCTTTCTCTGATATTTTCATGTGCTTTATACATTACTTAAGAACAACCTTTTTCAACCATGTTTTCTCTTCATGATTTCTCATTACATTACAGGTTGTAATCACAGACAAAAGGAAACATCAAGAGAAAAAACAAAACAAAATGGAACTTGCTTTCAGAGACAAAATTTTTTCTATATTTTATTTTATTAAAAAAAACAAGAAGGGATGTGACCAAAAGAGCCTGGTAATGACTACTGTTGAGAGAAAAATATTATGCTATTGTTAGTGCCAAAACAATGTATTTATAAAACATCAAACTGCCTTAAGAACCTAGACTTAACGTTCAAAATTAATATACCTTCAGACCATAGGATAAAGCTGAAGTATTTAAGCATACACTTATCATTTAACCATGGACTGGGAAATAACTGCAACAAAAATTTACAAAATACTGGTTAAAAGCATAAATTCAAACATTACAAGAAATTGTATTAACTAGGAAACAACACATGGACACTAAAAATATTTCTTATTTAAATATGAACAAGATAAATTACTAGACTGTTAAATAATTTATGCTTACAAAACACTGTACATTTCTCAAAAAGTTATTTAAGAATATATGGGGTTCATAATATAATTTAGTTGTTTTAAGATTAATATTTGAATGCCAGCATTGCCTATGTGTATTATATTATTCCTCTTACTTTTAACAGTTAAAAATACAGAAATTTGATATTAATAAAATTCAGAAATGATCAAAATGTTTTGTGTGATAGTTTGTCCAATTTTATGTATTTCACTTAGTAATATTATCTTACAGTTGGAACATAACAGATAAAAGTAACATTTTTTGTATATTTCAAAATGTCAAATAGCAGTTGTCTCAGATATGTGAACTAACATTAAATCATGAAACATCAAAATAATCTAAAGCCTATTGCATCATAAAATATTTTCCACTTAACTTTTTGGCTGAGACAACAATAAAAAGTTACAGTTATGGTATCTGGAAAAAGGACCACATTAACTTTCTCTCTCTCTCTTAGCTTAGAAATTTTTTCAGATATATGTGTTTTTA